TGAAGCTTTCGATGACGCTGGCGAAGCAGATCTACCAGTTGCTTGTGAGGCACTTCACTGATGAAGGTCCTCAGGACAAGGACCCAGCAAGGAGTCGAGGCACTGGCTATGCAACTATTGCGAGACTCGGTTCGTGGGCAAYWAGTTGGTCTTGAAGAAGCACTTTATGAAAAAGTGCAGCATTGATCTTGTCACTCGGGCATTGACAGCGGAGGAAAGGGTGATGAGAGTCGAGGGCATCCGGTTGGGGAAGCACCAGGCCAGTCAGCTCCTAGGTGCAACTGGTGGCAGTAGTGGTCCGAGCACAGGACCGTCTTCCAACACTTTTGTGGCTCTGTCATCACCAAGAGAGAGGCCAACTGACGGTGAGACACCCTCACCTGCAGGATCTGGGACATGCTTCCCTCCTCCCCTTGGAAGTGGTGGACGGTCAGTGAGACAAACTTTGATCGAGGAGGCGGACAATATCATCACCCATAACGAGCGGACGAGTCGGAAGATGGATCGGTTTATGATTTGCACGAATCAGCCATTCAGCGTGGTGGGGAACTACTACTTCCTCGATTTTCTCGATGCTGTGAAGAAGTGTCATCCTAGTTGGTGGCCTTGCAAGAGGGATGAGATGAGGACGAAAAGGTTGGATAGGCAGTTTAGGTTGGTGGGGGAAGACGGGTTGTCACTAGTCAAGAGATGGGAGAGAACAGGGTGCATGCTCTAGATGGACGGGTGGTCGGACTGGAGGAACAAACCGCACCTGAACGTCATGGTGTCTTCCCCAGTCGGAACGGTGTTTTGGAAGTCCATCTGCATAGAGGGGAGGGAGAAGGATTCGAAAGCGTACTTTAACTTGCTGGACGGGGAGATCAAGGAGATCGGTGCGGGGTCCATTGTCGGTGTTGTAATGAACAAGGCGAGGGTTTGCGCTAAAGCGGGGAAGATGCTGGAGGCCAAGTACCCTGGTATTTTTAGTGTGGGCTGCACAGCGCATGCCTTGGATCTGGCCCTGGAGGACATGTACAAGTGCATGGACTGGATGAAAGCAGTCGTCGACAAAGTCAATCAAGTTGGCAAGTTCTTCACCAACGTCGACAAGGTCCATGTGATGTACAACAGGATTGCGAATGTGCAATTCAAGCGTCCGGCAGTCACAAGATTCGCGACTAACTTTGAGATGCTTCAGTCGCTGAAGACAGGGAGGAATCCATTGGAGCTCTGTGTCTGCAACGCGGCGTGGGTGAAGAAGTTGGTGAGAGGGGAGCAGGTGGCGGCATTCAACGCCGTCACCCACATCATCAAGGACACGAACGGATTTTGGAAGGATGTCGATAAGGTCATGGTGGTGATGGAGCCAGTTGTCAAGCTCCTTCGTTTGGTGGACGGTCCCAGAGCAACTATGAGCAAAGTTTACTTTGGCATGGGCGTTGTTGTGGCGAAAATGCGCACCTTGGAGTGTCTGTCGGAGGCTGAGAAGGCGGATGTGGAAAAGATTTTAATGGACCGGTGGACCTTCATGACATCGGAGCTGCATTGCGCAGCCGCCTTCCTCGACCCCGAGTACAAGACGCACACCTTGCGAGACACGGAGATTCGGGAGGGGTTCAACATCTGGCTTTACTCTTGGGCACCGCCGGAGTTGCTGCAAAACGATATCAGCAGACAGGTGGACATATGGGTGCATGGATTGGGAACTTTGGGGACACAGAACGCAAGGGATCAGGCGAGTACGAAGACTCCAGCGCTATGGTGGAAGGCGTTCGAGGGGTCCCTGGACCTCCTCCAACCGCAAGCTATCAAACTCCTTGGGCAGGCGAGCTCGTCGGCTACGTGCGAGCGAAACTGGAGCTTGCACCAGCTCATTTACGGCCAACGCTGCACGAAGTTCATGCCGGAGAGATTGAGCAAGCTGGTGTGCAAGAATTGAAATATCCAATTGGCGAGGCGGAGAGAGCGAGGGGACGGGGAAGACATCCACATTCCGTGGAAGGACGACCAGCTGGCGAGAGTGGAAGTGGATGAGTGGTACGACCAATGGGGCGCACAGGTCAGGGAAGGGACAACCGGCGATGCTGCTGCAGCGGAGGTCTGCGTAGACGAATCCGACGATGCCCCACTAAAGCGCACATGGTTGCACAACAACGCCGAGGATAACTTTGCAGATGATGAGGACGACATTGCCGCACTCGGTGCACTGGAGAGAACATGGCATGCCAAAACGAAGCTCGGGAAACATCGAGTGCGGGAAGTGCGCAGAAAGTCCGGTGTTGAAAAGCCCGATCCCTCGTTCGTGTATACCTCGGGTGGAGGGGAAGGAACCAATATCGGGTCGTGGGCGACACAAGAAGAAGGCAACAACACCAGATGTTGCTGAAGAACAGCCGGTTCACATTGCAAACTTTGCTTCCCGGATCTTGTGTGTGTGTGTGTGTGTGTGTGTGTGTGTGTGTGTGTGTGAAATTGTGAATGTGTGCTTTTGCTGTTTCAGCAGGTGCTGCAGCTGGTGTTATTGCAGGTAGTATTGAAGTTGCTGTTTGTGCTACAGCTGGTGCTGCTGCAGGTGAGTGTGTGTGTGTGTGTGTGTGTGTCTCCAACGAAAGTAACAAAACAGTATAAAAAAAAAAAAACAGTAAAAGTACTAAAAGGTTATTAAAACAGTAAAAAAAACAATCCTGCAGCTGGTGCTGCTGCAGGTAGTATTGAAAGTTGAAACTGCTTGCCTCCAACGAAACATGAAAAAAAAAACAATCCTGCACAGAGAGAGAGAGAGAGAGAGAGAGAGAGAGAGAGAGAGAGAGAGAGAGAG